TTATTGACCGTTAGAAATAACATAACGGTTAGGTTTAAAAAAACAATATATCATTGAAAATAGAATTTGAAATCGTTGTTTTTTTTTATCAAACTATATTAAAAACTAAAATGTCATAAACGACAACCTTCGTACTCCGTAATTCCTCTGCTTTATCTTACGTATTTTTACATAGTACAAAATAAAGTCGCTTCCGTTGTTTGTTCGCCTAGATCTTTTAAACTACGCAACGGATTTTAATGCAGTTTTCAGCAATAGATAGAGTGATTCAAGAGGAATTTTTATGTATATAATACATGTACGAACGAGCGAAACCGGGCTTGTAGCTAGTAAGAAAATAACAGACAGTCTCATAATAATAAAGTTGAAGGCCATACATGAAAAACACGGTCATTCCGTTCAGATGTGGAATGAATAATTAAGTAAGGTAAAAAGTGGGATGAAATGGTGTTTGTGGTGAAATACTTAGAATATAGTATCTGTCATTTGTCATCAAAATTAAAGAAAGAAAACGTGAAGAAATTAAAATATCTGCACGGCAGACGTTTGGGGAGTAGACAAGTAGTCTTTGATCTGTTAACAAAGAAAAAATGTAGAAATGGCTACATGATATATTATATAGATGTTAGGCGACACATAAACGATTACTTAAGTGATGAGCGTGCAATAATAGTTCATGCACGGGATTTTCATTTAATGTCAAACTTTAAGACCTACATAAGTACACATTAAATTAATTAACTCTTTTTTAAAAAAAAAAATTCAGTTGAGTTTATTGCCAGTTCTTCAGTTTATTGAATCTACATATATACTGATCTGGACGGTAGGGAAAGAATATTAATATTAAGAATTAGTTCATAAGCGGCGAAACAAACATAATTTATTCATGTAGGACATCATTACTTAGTATAAAACAAAGTCGCTGTCGCTGTCTGTCCGTCCCTATGTATGCTTAAATCTTTAAAACTACGCAACGGATTTTAAAGCGATTTAATAGATATAGTGATTCAAGAGGAAGGTATATAGATTATACATGTACAGCCATGCGAAGCCGTGGCGAGTAGTTTTGATTATCATCCATTAAAAAAAATATATCATATAATAAACAAAGTTATAAGCATTTAGACGAATCCGCAGTGGGCCACTAGTTCAGTATGAAATATATAGACTGCCTCGGTGATGCCGAAGCCACACCGCCTTACTTCAGATAGTCGCTGGTACGATTCCTCGCTCAAACATTTGTATTCATGAGTATGATTGTTTATATCATCCTGGGTGTTTTCTATGTATAATATGTATGTATTTACGAAAAAAATAAAATTATGTATTTGTATCAGTCATCTAGTACCCATAACACAAGCTGTAGACATCGCTGCTGTTCGAACCAACCGATTTGCATCATCTTCACTTATGCTAGCAGCTGAGGAGTGGAACTCTCTCTCGCCTATGTTTGCTGCCTCTTACAACATTGGGTTTTTCAAATTAAGAGTGAATAGACACTATTTCAGCTTACTCGTAATATCTTAGACCGCATCATCATTTAACATCAGGTGAGATTGCGGTTAAACGCGCTCAAATTTAGAAATGAAAAACAAATTTAGCTACCTTAACTTGGGTTTGGATGGGGCTGAGTGAATTGTCCTAAAAGTATTATTATTTTATATTTCGTTTATTAACCAATATAAAAAACTTCTTTACATATATAGCAAGTCATAACATACTTCACATTTATATAAATTCAATCCAATTACAATTACATTAATAAATAAAATTACATTAATTAAATACGTACACAATATAACTAATAACATAATATGTTTCGTAGTCATTATTACGACATAATTATATTTAAGTCTAAATAAAATATTAAAAAAAGAATGTTTTTCAAAAAAAGATTTTATTTCAGTTTTGAATTGTTTTGGGGGTAATTCTCTTACTTGCACAGGTAGTTTATTTTACATTATGATTTTTATACTAATGACTTGTTTAAAAGTTTTACCAAGTCTTGTTTTAGGCAACTGTTATTATTTATATATTATATATAAGTAGGTACAATAAACTGTTGCGTTCTGAATCATGAGTAGTATTATATAAAGATGCACTTGTTCATTACTAACTACACATATGTATATAGTTTTATATAAAAGTGTATTTATTTTTATTTTACCTAAATGTCGTTTGGCTAAAGTTAGTAATTCGTTTTATGGCAATTGCGTAAGGTTTTACAATAAAATACCAGAGTCTGTTATAAATCTGCCAGAAAAAAGATTTAAATGTCAAATAAAACAGTTCCTTTGCAAAAAAGCTTACTATAAAATTGAAGAATTCGTTAACGATAATAATGTTTTTATAGAAAAACTTTAAATCCATAGCACTGACAATATTATCTGGTTACATTAATAATGAGTGCGTAGCGACTTCTATGTTGATTATCGCATGCCTCTTACTTGTTATACTGTAATTATTTATATAAAAAAAAAAACATCTATTAAAAAGAGCAACACACAAGTTTCTTGCTCATTCTTCTTGTGATGAATCTGCATTCCGAATGAGTGATAGAATCAAAATATGACTATTCAAAAGTGCTTGTAATGAGTTTATTTGAATAAAGATTATTTCTATTTCTATTTCTATTTACAAATGTAAGAATTTTATGTGATGCAAATTTTTGTGATAATAATAATAAAATAATAAAAATAATAATTTAAAAAGTTATGAGCATTCAGAATCCGCAGCAGCCCTAGATTAGTATGAAATATCTCAATGTTCCTGTTGACAGTACGAACATTGTATACATTATGATTCTTGTATCATAACCTATTCATTGTAACTACTTATGTTAATTTTAATGAGCGTCAGCATTTTACTGGCAGTAAACCAGCTGTAAACAACATAAATTCTTGTACTAATGCTGTTTTGAATTAATTTACCAGCTGAAATGTTAATGGCGGAAGCAGTATGGTAAGGTTAGGCTTTTGCTTATGTTCAGCGTGCAAATAATAACATGATCATTACTACTTTATTAGACGGCCCGGTAAACTTTCGACGGCCGCGATGTTTTAGCGGTTTAGCAAACAGTCTTACTTCCGATGGTCGCGAGATCCATTTTTTTACTATTAATGGGTTTGCGCTTGGTCTTACCTCATCTGATGGGAAATGATGGTTAAACCTAGGATGTAACGCCCTTACACAGACGATATTCACCATATCGACTATCACCATAGACTTGAAGAATCTGGGATTGTATTTCTCCGGGAACACGAATGCTGGAGTGTGTTCCACTCTTTGGCAGGGCGGGTTAAAAATGACGATGCGAACCGCTTGGTGCGAATATGTGGAATTTCGACGACGAGGGAGGAAGTCCTACGGTTGGTCGTGTAGTTCGGTGGTAGAAAGGAGAAGGCAAGACCATTTCTCGTACTGTGAAATAGTTGCTAGTTCCATTTCCACTCCGATCGATTCAAACGGGGACTGAAATTTCGGTGGCCAGAGCCAAGTTCGAACCTCAAGCCCTCAGACTAAAATAGTATTCATCAGGCGGGAGTTGGCTTTCAGCCGCTACATACATCCTTCCGCAGGTTTGCAGAGACATTTGCACTCGCCTCTATCGTCCGACGAAGCTGCAGCCAACAGCATTAGAGTAGATCTAAAAATTGTTCCATTTCTCACGCGGTGCAAGCATTTGTATCCGAATTAAAATATCTAGTACAAAATAGACGCTAGCCAACGTTTGTTCAAACTTAGCTCCCAAAACATTGTCTTTACGTATCTACATTTGCCACCATAACTGTATCACTTAATATTTCTTATACATCAGTTATTACTTCACCAATATTTACTTTTATCTTTACATTAGTATCACATATAAATTTCATTCAATTAGTTATTAATTCTTTAGCGTTTACTTCTACAATAAAATCATAATTATTATCCTTGAAATATACTCGTAATTCATTTTACTTCAGATGTAAAAGCGAGTAATAAGCCCCTTTTCACGCTAGTGAAGTTTTACGCCCCTACTCAACTGTACACCGTCGTAAAACGTCAATGGTGGAAGATTTTCGCGAGTCATTTGTATAAAACTACGGCGAGTGGAACTTGTCCTGGTTTACTACCTATTTTAGTTTATGAGCAGAGAAAACAATCAGCGAGACGTTACTGCGTACGACCTTCATTCAATTTGCATTGTGCAAACACATTTAATGTAAGCTTCTATTATACTTCATACATACAAAATATATATAATGCAATGCAAAATAATTTAGTATTTCTTTTTATAATTAGTATTTCTATTCTCCCTATTATAATAATAATAATTATGACACTTAGCTCAGCGTCATCGAGTCCCAAATTAATCAGAACGTCTACTATGAGTTTAGTATTATAAATAATAATTAAATATATTTATATACATAATATATGTAGAAATATTTAGACCAATAAAAATGATTATATGAATGCATATATTTGTATCATGCAAGAAATTAGACAGAAGATCATTGGATATAAGAAGGTGTGTGTGATGGTCTGCTAAATTCCTGAATTTGTCTAATTAGAAAAGGATAATCTTAAACAGGTGATAATGTGTGAACTGCGCTAATAGCATCCCATCCCAGAGAAGAACGAGTAAATAATGACATCTCGGTCCTTCGTTCATAAGGAATTTTCTTTAATAATTTTTAAAAGAAATGCGTACCTACTTTGCTTTGGTAGCAATAACCAAATCAAATCCAAAATCATTTAATTTTGATAAATATAGGATAGTTTGGCCTTTAATTTTGTTAATTCCTATATTAATTCTTGTTTTTTAAACAGTTTCAATCTTTTAACCTAGCTTATAAATTGTGTATCTGTTTAACATTTTAAAAATATTAAAAATCCCTTTTTTGACCAACTAACGTTATACAAAGTCGTCTCCCAAATAATCGTCTAAATAACGTCAATATATGCTATTTGATCCATAGATCCATCCTGTACATATTTGATATGTTTTGTTTCAGGTATCTTGGATTAGAAGAAAAGATTATCATCTCTTGACTGTTGGGTTGACTACGTACAGCTCGGATCAGAGATTTCAAGCCATACATCTCCAGCATTCAGAGGTAAGCTAATAAAAAACTTATCTTTTTGTAGAGGAATATAGAATGGTGGATCCGTCAGCACTAATGGTATACGCTAGTATATTGCCATTGAAATATGATGGGATGTAAAACTTCAGGTGAAATCAAGTCAGTTAAGCGACGTGGCAAATTCATCAAGAATTAATCATTAGAGTTAATATAGAAAACTACTAGGAAAAAATATTTCCTTTAATAAAAAGGTATCTATATAAAAAAGTAAAGCAGAAAGGTTAGTTGAATAATGAGTAATATGGTATATGTAAGGGAGATTCTATTATGTGTAACCGTGGAAGATACCCACGATAATCTTGTTTCTGCTGTTGGTAGCTTAATTTTAAGCTATGTCCTGGTTTAAAGCTTGATCAACTGATGATGACTGACCTGAAAAACGATATAGTTTTTTTCAAATTCAAATTCAAAATATCTTTATTCATGTAGGTATATTACAGACTCTTATGATATGTCAAATCTACCGTCACTTCGGAATGATATCGAGATGAGAAGAACTGACAAGAAACTCAGCTCGTATTTTTTTCAAATAATAGTGGAACATATTTACAATAATATACAGTCATTAAAATTCAAATTTGGGTCCCAAATTCAGTCCCCACAAGCAGCACCCGTACAGTAAGAAAGGGAGTGACTAACGAAATGATTGTGAACAGAGATGAAAAAACATATTACGCCAACACTAATTGATTTAGTTATGACAAGGAAATGAAGGGAAAGGATGATGAAATGATTAATTCGGATGTAGGCGAACACATAAAATATATTAAATTCAAGACATTTAACAAAACACTTGACAATTTAGTAATAGATGAGATTTAACTCATCGACCATAAATCTGATTTAGAGACAATAAACACCTACTCCAATTTCGATTTATAGATCCCGAAGATCGTATATTCAAATATCACACGTTAAACTTTATAGTGGTATTGTACACTAAAATAAAAATATTTTTATTCTTGTAGATCTATTACTTTAAGTAGTAAGTAGCAACTTACGATATGTTCTGACATATCATAAGTAGCTGTAATAGATCTACAACCTTAAGACTTTCTTAGCTCAAAACTATCTGGAAAAGTAGTTTTGAGTTAAAAAGAACTGACAAGAGAATCTGCTCTCTTTTCAAACGATATTGTATATGTAACAAAATAATATATTTAACATTAATTTGGATGGATAGAAAGGTAGAGGATGACCAAAAAAAGATGGATGGATTGTGTGAAAGATGATATGTTAAGAGGAGAGTAAGTTCAGAAATGACGGCTGGTAGGGATCAGTGGAAGAAGATGACATACTGCGCCGAAGTAATGGGATAAAGGCAAGGCAATGATGTTGATTGTATATTATTACAAAAAATAGTCTGTTTTTATGAGACTATTGTTGCCAATTATTTTACTACGCTGAATTGCGTCCAACACATGACCCGAGAGTTCAAATCTGGCAACACCAAAAAAGAAAAAACTTTGTGTGGTAATTTATATTTCTAACTACAAATAAAAAAATATTCCGAGAAATGCCCAGACTCGCTCCTTGCCACATTATATTGCGATATGTGGGCATGTCAAATGTCGCGTTTACCAATATTGACAGTTTTAAAGCATATGGGTTACCGACACGACAATATTATTATTATTTATTTATTTCAGTCAACTAGGCCCATTGTATGTATGTATGTATGTATATGTATGTTGGACTCCAGTCTCCGCAATTAGCCTCTTATTCGGGCCGTTGTACGTGCAGACTAGGCCCATTATAATATATTTATATAAACCATAATACATATGAAATAATATTTAAAAACTAATATATTGATATTGCCTCTGTGATGACGGCACTGACGACGGCAATCTACCACGATATGTATTCATAATAATAATAATACCCCTGGACAATTAACACAGTGCCATCTAGTCCCACACTAAGCAGAGCTTGCTTTATAGGTACTCGACAACTAATATAAATACTTAGATATGTATATATAGAAAACATCCAGATCAATACAAACAATCATACTCATAAATACAAATGTTTGTACCGTGCGAGGAATCACACCCGCGACTATCGAAAGAAAAACGGGTGCTAGACCACCGAGGTGTTCGAATTCATATATTGCTTTATTTATATTATTAACCGGGTCTTAACACGAATAATCTTATGGCAAATAAAGGTATTTACCTCTCTTGACGTTTCGACTAGGTTGCACTAGCCGTGGTCACGAGCTGACTGGAGTAACAGCGATGTCAATGTAGATAGGTGACAGCAGTCTTCATCTACCGGTACTAGATTGTTTAACGAAAGTTCGATCATATGTAATTTTAAGCCATCTTCTCTGTTAGGTCTCGAGAGAGATAAATACCTTTATTTGACATAAAATTATTCGTGTTAAGACCCGGTTAATAATTTAAATAATGTATGTTGAACACGAAAGTTTAAAATTAACTATTTCATATATTCTAAAATATGTGCCAATTAACCGAGACTATAAAACAAAGAAAAAGCTGCTTCAAATATGTGTTAAGTATTATGAAAATATAACATTATTAACTCTAATTATCTTAACTAATAAAACCGAGATGCAAAGACTTAAAAGATTAGATCCACAAGCAATTAGCGGAGCATCTTTTTGTTGTTCTTTTGAAACAATCTTAAGTCTGTTATTAGCTGCCGCTGAATTTAAACAGGCTGAAAATTCTAGCATTGAAGAGTCAGTTTCTTAATATTCTGCTACGAAATATAACGTATAATTTTTTATTGGAAATTTTCGTGTTCTTGAAAATCCAATCCAAGTTCATAGTAAGTAAAGTCAATAAGGTACAAAATTGTGTGTATTTCAGTCGGCAAACAATTTGCTATGTAGCTATATTATAATTTTGAGCATAAACATGACAGTTTTTCGAACTATTCTAATGATGTTGGGTGTATCTGGCCTTTACAGCTTCGTCAAACGAGATATGAGTATAGATGGCACTCCAAACCTGTGGAAGGACTTATGGAACTCCGACCTGACGGATACGACATTAGTGTAAGCTGCTAGGGGTTCGAATCTCGACTAAGGCCTGTCGTAATTTCTATCCCCGTTTTGAACGGGGCATCGATTATCGTATGTACTGAAGTTCATGTATGCACCTTACGTGCAACAATCGCGGGTTCGAATCCATGATATAAACATTTGTATTCATAAGTATGATTGTTTAAATTGTTCTGGATGTTTTCTATGTATTAATATACACAGAAAACATCCAGATCAGAAAACATTCGAATATAATACACCATTTACAAAAAAATGGCGCTGTGTTAATTGTCCAGGATCATTTATTATATTATTACTATACTTTATAGGTAAAGTATAGTAATAATATAATAAATTATTACTATACTTTACCTACTATACTTTACGTAATTGGATAGGTCCAATTACATAAAAAAATTCTAACACACAAGTTAATTTCATCACCAGACAGTAAGCACAATAGGCTTAACTCCAAATTGACAGTTACGGATAAAATCGTATTTTTAGTCATCCTGATTTTTATTTGAGAAGCGAATTTATGTCGTCCCAATTGGCTCAGTAAATATTAATACTGGAGGGGAGATTAAACTCAATTTATCCAATTTAAATATCGTCCGAAAATAGATGGATGAAAAGGAAATATTTCAGAGGCAATGACCATACTTTATTAGTAGTACAGTTTTAGGTTAACCGCAAACACACTTTGAGGTTTTGTTTGCATATCCGGTTAATTAAGCTATTAATAGTATTAAATTAATTTTAATCTTTTACTTTACATCATATATATAATAATAATAATAATAATAATCTCAGGACAATTCACACAGAGCCATCTAGACCCAAGTTAAGCTAACTAGAGCTTGTGTTATGGGTACTAGATAACTGATACATATACATAGATATTTTTTTTTTGTAAATACATACATATTATACATAGAAAACAAAACACCCAGACCGATACAAACAATCATACTCATGAATACAAATGTTTCTGCCTTGACCGCTAGACCAACGACGCGTCAAAGGATTTAAATGAATAATAATAATTGTGATCGGTTTAGCACACCATTTTGTGTGTTCGATTCCTCGCATGGCAGAAACATTTGTATTCATAAGTCTGATTGTTTGTATCGGTCTGTGTGTTTTCTATGTATAATATGTATGTATTTATATAAGTTGTCTAGTACCTATATCACAAGGTTTAACTACCTTAGCTTGGGTCTAGATGGCGCTGTGTGAATTGTCCTAAGATTATTATTATATTATATATTACGACAACTCACCCAGACTGATACAAACAATCATACTCATAAATAAAAATGTTTATACAATATAAAGAATCGAAAGTGTGTTAAATCACTAGACCATAGAGGCATGACGACCTTTTGTTTGTTTGTTTGTAGTTCAAAAAAGCTGAGGAATTTAATAATTTAATCATTAACGCACCCAAGCGATTCGCTAGTTTAGAACTATGACCCGGTCATTGGGCTCTCTAAAATATGGTCGAGCGCAGTGATGGCTGGCTCATCCGTCATACTCGTGAACGAGTGCTGCTTGTAGGGACTGGTCTACTCTTATCACTACGACTGATTTAATCTTATTGTATATTTATATTTGACACTAATAAATTAGTGCTGGTTGGTAGTTTGTATTCACACGTTTCGACTTGTAAAATGTGAACTTACAAGAATTATTTAAAAGAGCAACACACAAGTTTCTTGCTCGTTTTTCTTGTGATGAGACAGATTTTCGAATGAGCGGTAGATTAAAAAAAATGTTATGACCATTCAAAAGTACTTAAATTAAGTTTATTTGAATAAATGATTTTCTATTCTATTCTAGAACAATATATAAAATTGAACAAAAATGTTTGCACCGTGCTAGGAATCGAACCCATCGGATGTAAAACGGTGTGCTAAACCACTAAACCACCGACGCCGGCATATTTTTTTTTATGGATGATAATGTAATGGTACATTCGCCTGCGCTAACGGTTTACGCTGGCGGGGCACCAGTGGAGGATGATAAATTGAGCATGAGGTCAGGTCAGTTAGCCCATCGTGACAAATTCACCATGAATTTATCACGATGGTATCCAAGGGGAACCACGTGGAGGTCAACCTGACATGGTACATTGATAGCAATAGGATTCTCAGTCCACATGACTAACAATGCCCATTCCCTCTGCTTTCCTTACATATTGTAGTACAGAAAAGTCGTGAAATTCAATCATTTGTAATACATAAATAAATTATTATTATTATTATTATTATTCTTTCCTTTTTTTCTCTTCATTTGTAATGGGAGACTGGGTGAAGATATTGTTGTATTGTATATATTTAAATTGTGGCTTTCTGTAGGAGAATGTTTTGGATGGATGAATGTTTAATGTTTGCAGACTATTTTGAAGTATTTTGGGTACAATACCGGTAGAGGAAAGTACAATGGGTACAGTGTGTACAGTATCAGCTCGCCATTGTGTTCTTACCTCTATTGCAAGATCCTGATATTATTATTATTATTATTATTATTACAATTGTATTGTATATAAAATGCTGAATGTTGGTTTTCTTTGACAGGATTGGACGCTAAAGGTCCGTTTCGTCCAAAAACGTGATGCAGGAATCTACGAGTGCCAAGTATCGTCTCATCCGCCCACTAGCATATTCTTACGCCTCGATGTAGTTGGTAAGTTGTTATTTCTTATACCAGTTCTTAATCCTGGCTAAATCTGCTTTATTTTTATATAATAAAACTAGCTGACGCAGCAAAGATTGTTGTGCCAATAAAATTAGAATCGCTATTCAAAAATAGGGGTTGATGATAGAAGGGTGAAAGTATAGGGTTGTATGTATTTTTAATTCCACATTAAAAAAATGTCATAAAAATGTTAGGGATGGACAACCTTTATCTCATAGTAGTATGGATAATAGACAGTAGCCGATTCTCAATTTTTCTGAATATGCATGTAAAATATCTTAAAAATCGGTCAAGCCGTTTCGGAGGAGTATGTTAACTAACATTGCGACACGAGAATGTTATATATGTATTGTATAAGATGTTTATGTCTGCGCTTACAATACAATCTATCTTGAAGTCAAATTCCATTCAGATCGGTGCAGACTATTCATATTTATACTATTATATGCAATGCAAATGCAATCGTCAGCCTCGGTGGCCTAGTGGAATAGCATACTGCTTTACTATCCAATGGTTGCGGATTCGATTCCTCGCACGATACAAACATTAATATTCGTGAGTAAGTTTGTTTGTATCAGTATGGGTGTTTTCTATAATAATCCTAGCTGCACTCGCAGTTTCAAATTTATAGTATAAGTATTATTCTGATATATAGGCTACATTACTGTAAAGTTTAATCAAATTCAAGTTCATTAGTTTTTCCATGAAAGAGTAACAAACATACATCCATACTCACAAACTTTCTCATGTATAATATTAGTAAGATAATAATGAATAAAAAAACATTTCGTCTTTCTCCAATTCTTCCGTCCAATTCAAACGTAGATCGAAATTACGATCGCCTGAGCCGAGCTTCGAACCCCTAGCGGTGCCCTCAGACTAAAAACGCATCAGTCAGGCAGTGCCATCCGCACTCACCCGCTATCGTCCGGTGAAGCTGTAAAGGCCAGCTGCGACCAACAACATTAGAGTAATCAAAAAAAAACAGATATCGAGTCAACTGAATATAACTGTCAAGGCTGCACTACACCATGCATCTGAGTGCATCCAATGGCGACAGTTGGTCGACAAGATACTGTAGAGTCTCTATCCTGAGCAGTAAGAGAACGATTAAGAAGAGAGTAATGAAAACGGCACAATAAAGTGTATAAAAAAGGGAACGCTGCCAGTATCTTCGGAACGTTGCCTAAAGGGACCCCTTTTAATAATATATTTTAGTCATCATATTATTATTTTTTTTTAAACTTTTCATTTTAGGTTCTTAGTTGTACAATTAGGTTATGTAAATACTAGTAATAAATATTAATATTACCACTTATATACGACCCACTTTTCGTTGGCCAAAAAAATATACTATATTTGAACAGAGTATCTAATGGTACGTATTGACACATATATATTATTAATTAAAGGAAAACTGTAAAATTGTATAAAAAAAATATTTATGGGGAGTTGCCAAATGTCATAATATACGTTATTGAAAACGTACATCTGTCACGTACCAGCTCGAAATACAACAGCGGTGTCGCGTCGCGGCAGACATTGTACGTGTTAGCAATATTTTTTTCAATGCTTCAACCCTATATCTACATATTATATATCAATAACGATACCATATGCAGGGCTGCAATCAAACTTTAAACATTTAGGCTTGTATGAAGAAGTTTTAATTTCAATTATTTATTTTACTTTACATTTATTATTTTTTACTCTTACTTAGTTATTCAATATTTTGACTCTAATGAATTAGTGCTACTTGGTAGTACTTATTCGTAAGTAGTAACTTTATATTTTAAATTGAAATGTGTGCACATTTCAACTTAAAATGTAAAGTTACAATTAAATTATTTATGAGAGCAACACGCAAGTTTCTTTCTAGTTCTTTTTGAGATAAGATAACTTTCGACACTTCACCGAGCGATTATTAGGAGCCGAGAGTTATCGCCTGTCGCACTATAACTACTTTGAAAATTTCGTACACGTTTGTTCGAAGTAAAAATGACCTCCTACCATGGCCAATAGTACTTGTACGATGTTTTCGTAAAGTTGGCAGCCCTGTATCTGAATTTCTAGTGAAATCACTGAGCGATCGTTAGGTGCCGAGAGTCATCGCCTGTCGCACTATAACTACTTTGAAAATTTCGTACACGTTTGTTCGAAGTAAAAATGACCTCCTACCATGGCCAATAGTACTTGTACGATGTTTTCGTTAAGTTGGTAGCACTGTATCTGAATTTCTAGTAAAAACACTGAGCGATCGTTTATGCCGAGAGTCATCGCCTGTCGCACTATATCTGCATTGAAAATTTCGTACACGTTTGTTCGAAGTAAAAATAACCTCGTACCAAGGCCAATAGTACTTATGCGATGTTTTCGTAAAGTTGGCAGCCCTGTATCTGAATTTCTAGTGAAATCACTGAGCGATCGTTAGGTGCCGAGAGTCATCGCCTGTCGCACTATAACTACTTTGAAAATTTCGTACACGTTTGTTCGAAGTAAAAATGACCTCCTACCATGGCCAATAGTACTTGTACGATGTTTTCGTTAAGTTGGTAGCACTGTATCTGAATTTCTAGTAAAAACACTGAGCGATCGTTTATGCCGAGAGTCATCGCCTGTCGCACTATATCTGCATTGAAAATTTCGTACACGTTTGTTCGAAGTAAAAATAACCTCGTACCAAGGCCAATAGTACTTATGCGATGTTTTCGTAAAGTTGGCAGCCCTGTATCTGAATTTCTAGTGAAATCACTGAGCGATCGTTAGGTACCGAGAGTCATCGCCTGTCGCACTATAACTACTTTGAAAATTTCGTACACGTTTGTTCGAAGTAAAAATGACCTCGTACCAAGGCCAATAGTACTTATACGATGTTTTCGTAAAGTTGGCAGCCCTGTATCTGAATTTCTAGTAAAAACACTGAACGATTCGTTAGATGCCGAGAGTCATCGCCTGTCGCCCTATAACTACTTTGAAAATTTCGTACACGTTTGTTCGAAGTAAAAATGACCTCGTACCAAGGCCAATAAATAGTACTTGTACGATGTTTTCGTAAAGTTGGCAGCCCTGTATCTGAATTTCTAGTAAAAACACTGAGCGATCGTTTATGCCGAGATCATCGCCTGTCGCACTATATCTGCATTGAAAATTTCGTACACGTTTGTTCGAAGTAAAAATGACCTCGCACCAAGGCCAATAGTACTTGTACGATGTTTTCGTAAAGTTGACAGGCCTGTATCTGAATTTCTAGTGAAATCACTGAGCGATCGTTAGGTACCGAGAGTCATCGCCTGTCGCACTATAACTACTTTGAAAATTTCGTACACGTTTGTTCGAAATAAAAATAACCTTGTACCAAGGCCAATAATACGTACTTGTACGATGTTTTCGTAAAGTTGGCAGCCCTGTATCTGAATTTCTAGTGAAATCACTGAGCGGTCGTTAGATGCCGAGAGTCATCGCCTGTCGCACTATAACTATGTTCAACGTTCTGTGCTTGAGAGATTATTTGCGAGCATCTGGATCGAGAAATTTGTCATAAGTATTTTTATATTTCAACTTGCGAAACGCCCTTACACCTCACGTCCGCCCTTACTCCGTGCAATAAAATAGTTTCTTGCGATAAAATAGAGCCTACATTTAACTATGAACGACATTAAATTCGACGTAGTAGTTTTTTTCATTTTATTAATGCAAACAGACTGATATGAATTCTATTTCTATTTTTATCTTCTACTGCTGTAAGAAAGACACAAATTCCATATTTGTTTTTAGTATCTAGACTATACAGACTTCAGCTTGTTGCAATTTTGCTATATATACAAGTTCAGTCCAGACTGAAGTCATATTTTCGACGGCCTCTGTGGTCTAACGGTTTAACACATCGCCTTACTTTCGATGTTTGTGGGTTCGATTCCTCACATGGCACATACATTTGTATTCGTGAATATGATTGTTTGTGTCAGTCTGGGTGTTTTCTATATATGATATGTATTTAATTACAATATATATATATATATGTATGTATTCGTATCAGTTATCTAGTACCCATAACACAAGCTTCAGCTAGCTTAACTTGGGTCTAGATGGCGCTGTGTGAATTGTCCTGATATTATTATTATTATTTGATATGTAGGAGATGGACATACTTGCACTACTGCGGGGCAAGTGCTTCAGGACGTGGATATAGATATATGAATCAAAACAATAAGGATATATATATACTTAAAAAAAACAATTATTCAAAAGAGCAACACACAAGTTTCTTGCTCATTCTTCTTGAGATGAATCTGCATTCCGAATGAATGGTAGAATAAAAAATATGACTATTCAAAAGTTTCTTAATTAACATCGTTTAGAATTTTTTTACTAACACATTGGGGATGGATATCCGAAATAAATAAATAAAATATCCCCCGTGACGCCATAAAAGGAAGCTGCAACGAAATATCATTAGAATAATTCTAAAACCATACAGACAGTATTGCATGCAATAATTTAGTGGCTGATTTAAATTTTCCAGCACAACGAATTCCTTTGCCTTCAACGTTCTTCCATGGCCGTTGAAAATAGAATTTTAATTATTTTTAGGACCTCCCACAAAGCCCTCCCTATTGTTCCAATGGCGGTGCTGCTCAGGTCAAGTAATTTGCATATAAATATGTGATTAAAGAAATCCCCACAAAAGTTCCGTCAAAAGACATTATTATGCTTCCAATTATACTTTTAAATAAAAAAATCAAGCCATTTTAATCCGTGATGGGGAGGATTGAGGTATTACACAGATTTATATATTCATATTAGTAGATTTTACTGTGCAAATTTATCGACTAGGCATTTGTAACGTTTTAAACAAAAAATTTTTCCCCAAATTTCGTTTAATAAAGGTTTTAAAGGAAATATGTATTAAATTCTATAACATGATACCGAAAGATATCAATGGAGCGAGATCACAACTACTATTTTAATTAAAAATCAAATAATAGTAAAAAAAAAATCCCAAAAGGGCTCACAGCGAAAATAAAAGTAACAACAGTTAGTGTAAAAGTGACATATAAAAAAACAGATACCATAAACATAAACATTAATAAAAGAATAGTAGACAAGCTGCCAGCAACATCAAGATATCTTTCGGTATCATGTTATAGAATCTAAATATATGTAACTCAAAGGTGACTGACTGACATAGTGATCTATCAACGTACAGCCCAAACCACTGAACAAAACGAGTTGAAATTTGGCATGCAGGTAGATGTTATGACGTAAGCATCCGCTAAGAAAGGATTTTAATAAATTCTACCCCCAAGGGGATAAAATAGGGGATGAAAGTTTGTATGAAACTTTGTCAATTTTAATCCGATCGAGCTGAGACTTTGCATGCATAAAGCTACTATGACGTAGGCATCCCCTAAGAAAGGATTTTATTCCACACAAATTCCACCCCTAAGGGGATAAAATAGGGAATGAAAGTTTGTATAAATCTTCTTACATTTTGTAGGCCTAATTAATAATTAAAAACTACACCTAATTAATAATAATACTTACTACGCGAGCGAAGCCGCGGGTAAAAGCTAGTTTAATACATATTTCCTTTAAAATTTACCTTTTAATTAATTCAAAATGTTTTAGGCTATTATAATATCTATTTATTTACAGAGGTAAACCTAAATGACGACTTTACCTGCTGTTTGTAGGAATATTGCAATGTTTAATTTACTGTATTTGAAGTAAAAAAAAATGTTTAGAATTTATTGTACACTGAATTCAATAATGACGCCACGGAATGTTCGAGAAGGCGTGCAAAATGTATATAAAGGAAAACAAAACAACATCGATGTTCTATGCGTGACGATCCAAATTTGAATTTAATAATTTTATTTTATAAATGTAATTATATGGCTATTTGCGATTGCGCACACCTGCGTTACCTGTTCAGAAACCATTTTACAATATGGTATTTTAAATATTTTAAATATATTGGAAGCTCATTTATTTAAAGATTGAACCAAAGTAGAAAAAAATATTTATTGCCAACAATAGCACATAATGATTTCCAATAGGTACAAGCTCAGCTGTCATTGGACTGATGTGCGCCAGGAGCTGATTTTCAGTTTGTACTTACGCGAACGTATAATGTAATAACATAAAGTTCAAATAGAGTTGCTTGCTCGTTCTACGCAAATGAAGTGAATAGCCGAACTGAACGATTCGGATGGTGATAAAAAAGTTATGACTTTCATAAGTTATTAAAAATGTTAAATGATTTTGACTTTATCCATTTTTAGGTAATTCACAGATAGTACAATATATACACAAAATTTACAAGACCATGATTCAAATTCAAATTTAAAATTCAAAATATCTTTATTCACGTAGGTCTATTACAGACTCTTATGATATGTCAAATCTACCGTCAGTTCGGAATGATATCGAAATGAAAAGAACTGACAAGAAACTCAGCTCGTAGTTTTTTCAAATAATAGTGGAACATGTTTATAATAATACACAGTCATTAAAATTCAAATTTTGGAGAATAGAGTGACCACCAGCATATGCTATCGCAAACAACAAAAAATTTAATCAGTGTTCACAACCTGAACAGACCAGTCCCCACAAGCAGCACCCGTTCACGAGTATGACGTATAAGCCAGCCATCATTGTACTCAACTATATTTGAGGGAGCACATCGACCCGGCCTGTTGTCTTGTATGGATCAGAGTGCTGGCCCGTAAAGGCGACGGATCAAAGATGACTGCATGCAACTGAAATGCAAATGTTGAGATGGATGTGTGGTGTGACAAGAATGGATACATTAGAGGAAGTCTGAAAGTGGCGCCGGTGACGGTGAAGGGTGAAGATTGAAGAGTGATCGTCTATCATAGTATGGGCAAATAATGCGTAGGAATGAAGGTAATATTTTAAGGAAGGTGTTACATATGAATTTGGATGGTTATAGGTAAGGGCAGTGGAAAGCTGAAAAAGGGATGGATGGACTGTGAAAGATGATATGGTAAGAAATGGAGTAAATAACGAATGACTGCGAACAGGCATGATGGAAGAGAAAAACATATTATGACGATCCCATATAATTGGGATAAGGAAGAAGTAGATGATGATGATAATATACATATAGACATTATTTAATATTACGTAATTATTAAAGCCGATACTGACTTGGACTATAGCCATCTGAAAAGCTAAAAGTATTAAATAATAATAGACAATGATAAATTCAATTTATACTTTGATAATTTGCAAGTAAAGAAAAAGTTTATTTTTGTACTTACCTGAAAATGTAAAAGCAATGTATGTAATCATATATTTATACGTGTAATTGGAGAAGATAATGAAACGTGATATTTATTTTAAGTACTTTGTTACCTGTGCTTCACAAATAAACAATTTAAATTTGATATAATAGTAGTTACTTCAACGATCTCTCCTTTCTCTCAGGTTGGTAATGGTAATGGTAAACATGTAGTTCATGTATATAAACAATGCCATGACACGACAATGACAGCCTCGATGGTCTAGTGGTTTAGCACACCGCTTTACTATCCGATGGTCGTGGGTTCGATCTCTCGTACTGCACAAACATTTGTATTCAGGAGTATGATTGTTTGTATCGGTCTGGGTGTTTTCTATGTATAATATGTATTTATTTACAAGAAAAATTATCTATGTACTTGTATCAGTTATCTAGTACCCGTAACACAAGCTTTAGATAGCTTAACTTGGGACCAGATCGCGCTGTGTGAATTGTCCTGAGATTATTATTGTTATTATTAAAATATATTATTTAAAGGAGTCCCTTAAGGCAAGGTTCCGAGCATACTGGCAGCGTTCCCCCTTTGAATAGCTAAACTAATTCTTTGTTCGAGGTAGCTGCCAGCTTCCTCGGACAAACAAGCTGGTCTTCTGTGATATCGACTTTCTTTTTTAACGTGTGGAAACTCTTCAAAAGACCGTCACCACGCCGGAGGGAGGGCGGGGTGGTGTGTGAGATCTCTCGCTACTGATCATCCTCCGAACTAAATTCGGCAGCGAGAGATCGCCCCCACTATTCGTGTGAGGACACGGCGCTTACTCGGGAACGGTGGACATCCTTCCAGCGTGTGTTGCGCCGTGTCCTCTACACCTCCGCATTCGTGGCAGCCGATCGTCGGCTCCTTCCATGTGGCGAGCACATGACACAGATACCGTCTGTGATGTCGACTAACCTAACCTAACACAAGCTCTGCTTAGCTTGGGACTAGATGGAGCTGTGTGAATTGTCCTGAAATATTATTCTTATAGACAACAATTGCCCCTTACTGTTAAGTTATTTGCCATTATAGTCATATAAAAGAACTTGTTAGATTTGATAAAAATCTTTTCCCTAAGGAAATTAACAGGGTATTTTGTACCTATTTAATTAAACAGATTGTCAATATAATTAGAATTAATGATGGCCTTTGTTACAGAGGCGCGAGCACAAATCTCTGGGCCTACAGACAAATACCTGAAGCCCGGGTCTACTCTTAGACTACAATGTTCTGTTGTGCAGACAACCGAAGCCCCAGCATTTGTTTTCTGGTAAGTTCCTATTTATAATTATCATAGATATAATTTCAGCATTATCATGTGTAAGGTGAGTGCTTTGAGAAATTGTTCGAAATAATATCAACTGAATTACATCATCGTACTACTCGCCAGAAATTAGATTACCATCCTGTTTTGGATGAATGGTGGTCCTCCACCGTCATTTGTTGTCCAGAAACTTTTTGCTACGTACCACATTGTGACACCGCCTTCCAGCAGAAGTATTTGGATACGATATTGGCAGCTTCAAGAAAACAGCTTAGTCCTTCTTAAAAGATCGGCAACGCACTTGCAATTCCCTCGTAGATTCGAAGTAATATATTTTAATTTATATTACTTTTCATTTACAAACCTGTAGGAGGATAATATATCCTCCTACGAGTTTGTACGATATTTGAAAGGAAGTCAGCACGAGTCGCTAGTAAATATATGTATACACTAGCTTTTGCCCGCGGCTTCGCTCGCGTTAATTTATCTCCTTAGTGGTGGAATTTATCAAAATCCTTTCTTAGGGGATGCCTACGTCATAGTAGCTTTATGCATGCAAAGTCTCAACCCGATCGGTATAAAATTGACAAAGTTTCATATAAACTTTCATCCCCTATTTTATCCCTTTGGGGATAGAATTAATCAAAATCCTTTCTTAGCGGATGCCTACGTCATAATATCTACCCGCATGCCATATTTCAGCCCGATCCGTCCAGTGGTTTGGGCTGTGCGTTGATAGATCACTATGTCAGTCACCTTTGAGTTATATATATTTAGATTAACTTTCTAACAAAGTTAGCATAACCTCGTACATCATCGTTTCGTAGATCAAAATCTGGTACAAATTTGTACAAGACTGAAAATGTCCTCGTACTGTACTCTAAAAAGTCTCGTACTTTTACGTCCCTGGTAATTTCAATTCCTATTATTTACGCCCTCGTAAGCTGGGCATTAGCCTAGATTCTCCTAATTACCTATCTTGTTAGTCAGTGTCAAATCTGTGCCAAGTCCAGTTGCCAAATTAGTGTCTCTCTGCATATTGTTTATTTAATTAAACTAACAAATATAAAATTTGTAATCGTGTTCTAGCGGTTTAGCACACCGATTTATTTCGTACGCGGATTCGATTCCTCGCATGGTGCCAATATTTGTATTCATGAGTAGGATTGATTACATCGGTCTATTGTTTTTCTATGTATAAATTGTATGTATGTACAAACAAAATTTATGTATTTATATCAGTTATCTAAAAGCTATAACAGCTCTGCTTAGTTTGCAACTAGATGACGCTGTGTAAATTGTCGATACATTACTTATTTCTTTATTTGCTAGCTAATCATCCCGACTTCGCATGGGTGTACATGTATTATACATATAAACCTTCCTCTCGTATCACATCTATTAAAAAACCCCGCTTCTAATTCCGTTGCGTAGTTTTAAAGATTTAAGCATACATAGAGACGGACAGACAGCGACAGCGACTTTGTTTTGTACTATGTAATGATTTATATAACTTCAATGCACAAAATGCCAAGGTAAAATACATATGGCGGACTAAACGTCTTACGACATTTTCGACCAGTCAACCACAGGTTGTGCAAAGAAAAATTTTACGCGGTTCAAATATAATCAATGAGAAAAATAATATGTCATGATAAGTATATAATAAAAGTATGTAATATTATTTATTTATTCCTTAATGCACAATATAACTTGTACAAAGGCGAGCTTAATGACGTATGGCATTCTCCACCAGTTTACCTTTAGGTATACAGAAAGCGTTGTGGGGCAGTTATGTCAAAAAACAATCACAAAGTTACTAATAAATATTATATAATACATATGAAATGCAAATAAATATATACATATAAGAATATATATATAATACTCCCATTTAAAGAATCATACTCATGAATAAAAATCTTTGTACCAAGCGTGGAAGTGAAGCCGCAACTATCCCAAGTACACCACCAGACCACCGAGACCGTCAGATTTCATTATAAGTAAAGATGTTATTCAAATTTTAGATATAATATAATCTGTTAAACCATTTCTAAATCCATAATATCCAGAAGATAACTCTGTCAACTGCAACCAAACAACTAAAAACATTAAAAACACATTGTAGAACATTTTGTTTTGAAGAAAACATCTCCAAAGTTGCGAAAACTTTGACCATTTTCGATATCTTTGTTTCATACTTCCAACTACGTTGTTGAACTGAGAGTGCGGAATTTTGAACGGATGCTCTCATTTTAGTTTCTGCATTCTACAGACAGAAGGTGGTTAAGTTTGGTAGAATATTTGAGGCGAAGAGATTCTGAATCATATATTATACTATACTACTTTTGAACTCCCGCAAAAAGAAGAGTAAAGTTAACTTGTACGACATCCTTTCTAATATTATAAATGTGAAACTAGGGGTGTTTGTTATGCTTTCACGCAAAAACTACTGAACCGATCATCATGAAATATTGTATACATGTACTTGGAGATATTGGAATGAGCACAAAATAGAATAGAAAATCATTTATCAAATAAACTTAATTTAAGTACTTTTGAACAGTCATAACAATTTGTTTTTTATCTACCACTCGTTCGGAAAGCTGCCTCATCACAAGAAGAACGAGCAAGAAACTTGTGTGTTGCTCTTTTAAATAATCCTTGTAAGTTTACATTTACAAGTCGAAACGTGTGAATACAAATTACCAACCAGCACTAATTTTTTGGGTCAAATATAAATATACAATAAGATTAAATCAGTCGTAGTGATAAGAACAGACCAGTCCCTACAAGCAGCACTCATTCACGAGTATGACTGATGAGCCAGCCATCACTGCACTCGACCGTATTTTAGGGAGCCCAAAGCCCGGCCTACCACGCCGCCACATGTTTGGACATTTTAGTGAGCATGACTACTCATTCCACTCGACCACATCACAGATACAAAAATTACTATATGGTAGTTACAGTATTCGCACTTTAAATGAGGATGCATGCGGCAATCAATACAAAAGCCGCTACGCTATCATATATCAAGAAAGCTGTATGAAAAATAAATTATAACGTTGTCCGCAAATAAACTTATTCTTGCTATAATTTCTATCATCTATAAATTTATCTATCCTATAATAGGCTTTTTTACATAACATTTGTTTAATATAAAATTTGAATTGCCTCTCTGTAAGATTTAGCGTAGATTCTGTAGATTCAAATACATGTTATTAAAAAAAAATTATCACAATTTGCTCCTTCGGCGCTATCTAGCAGTTATGCGAGCGAAGCCGCGGTTAAAAGCTAGTCCTATATATAAAATTCTCGTGTAACAGTGTTAGTTACCATACTCCTCCGAAACGGCTTGACCGTTTCTCATGAAATTTTGTGAGCGTATTGAGTAGGTCTGAGAATCGGCCAACATCTATTTTTCATCCCCCTAAATGTTAGGGGTAGTCCACCCCTAATTTTTTTTATTTTAAGGCAAAACAACGTTTGCCGGGACAGCTAGTTTCAATATAAAATGAACCTATGTGTTATACCTGTGTGTTATAGGGAACGCCTACATCTTAGTAGCTTTATGCATTCAAAGTTTCAGCCCGATCGGTTTAAAATTGACAAAGTTTCATAAAAACTTTCATTCCCTATTTTATCCCTTTGGGGGTAGATTTAATCAAAATCCTTTCTTAGCGGATGCCTACGTCATAACATCTACCTGCATGCCAAATTTCAGCCCGATCCGTTCAGTGGTTTGGGCTGTGCGTTTATAGATCACTACGTCAGTCAGTCTACCTTTGAGTTATATATATTTAGATTTCGTCAAAATATAACATATCTGTTTAAATTATAGTCTATATGATGTAAAAGCTATATAACTGTAGATTCATAATTCATTCCATAGTTTTTGCGTGAAAGAGTAACATATATTCACGTATATAATATTAATAAGAGTTTTATTAGCATAACAGTAGAGGCAAGTCTAGAATCGTAACTGAATTGAATAGATGTCCACATAAAAAACTTACGTAACATTATAAATAAGAAGGTACTTATTAAACTATTGCGTTCTGAATCATGAGAAGTATTGAGATGCACTTGTTCATTACCAGCTACACATATGTATATAATCTATACATCTATACATATAAATAAAATTGGAGAGTCTGTTTGTAATATTGAAATATCTGTTTTTTACTACATGTGTATGAATATATATACGATAACATTTTTATAATTTTTGTATGTCTGTCTGTCGGTTTGTTTGTTCCGGTTAATCTCTGAAAGGGCTGGACCGATTTTGACGGGACTTTTTTTGGCAGGTAGCTAATGTAATAAGAAGTAACTTAGGCTACTTTTATTTTAGTAAAATAAAGTTAAATTCCACGCGGCTGAATCGCGGAAACAGTTAGTTATTAACATATTTAAACGGTTTTTAACACTAATAATTTTGTGGTAAATAAAGGTGTTTACCACAAAAATTATTACCTCTTGCGACATTTCGACTAGGTTGCACTAGCCGTGGCCACGAGCTCACAATATAGGTACATTTACCGTAAAACCTTTACCTTTATTTACCATAAAATTATTTAAACCGTTTAACTATATTATTAAGAAATATCTATTAAGTATTTTCTTGAAAGTTTGCTTGTTATTTATTTAAAACAACATCTACAATATTCAAGTCCGGTGTCCGCCTGACTTCCAATCAGATATCGTGTTACAGAATAATGATGCTGCTCTCTCCCAGATTTTTACTACTTTCCTTTTACCCAAGAGCCGGTAACTAGGTGAAATAATATACCTCGATTAAAGAATACTTGCTCTAAAAAATATAAGGTAATTTTTCTTTTTTCTCTGTCATTATTATATTTAATTTTAATTAAAATTATGTTGTTAGCATGTAATTAGATTACATATTATTAAACCAACAAAACATTATTATCATTAATAATGTTTTTGTAGAAAAAAATTAAATTCATAGCACTGACAATATTATTTGATTGCACTAGGAATGAGTGCGTAGCGGTTTCTATGTTGATTATCGTATGCCTCTTACTTGTTGTTGTGTAATTATTTATTTAATATAATATTTATTGAAAAGAACAACACACAAGTTTCTTGCTCATTCTTCTTGAGATGAGTCTGAGTTCCCAAGTGGTAGAATAAAAAATATGACTATTCAAAACTGCTTGTATTGAGTTTATTTGAATAGTTAATAGATTATTTCTATTTCCAAATACGCTGCGTACTTATTTATAATTAATCTTAAATGTAATGGAAAATATATTAAAATAAGTTTTCCGTTTCGTTTATAATATGGAAATAATATAATAAATAAAAATGTTACTTTTAATATTTGACAATATATGTCGTTGTCTAGTTGATACTACTACTAGTAGTGAGTTCAAACATTGCCGACATGCAAAAAGTTTTCCATATCATTCTAAACAGATTTTCAAGTAATGGAAATGCTGATAATATAATTAATTCAAGAGTATGCGATATTCTATCTCCAAGCTACACTGGTTTCAAATATACCCAGCAAAATATGGGCATATCTAATATTGCGATCATACTGACTTGTATATTTACATTTAACTCCCTATCTGGTATAAAAATTGTAAATGTCTATTACTAACCCATAAAATAATATTTGTATTAGTGAGGTAAGACCAAGCACAAACTCATTTACAACAAAAACGAACATTTAAATTAAATAGAACAGAACAGCTTTCCTATTTACAGTCAAAAAGAAGATTTAATTTTAAACAGAACGCAAAACCTTTTTGTTACCATTCCATTATATAGTTTTAATAAAATTATTAAGATGAAACATCATGACAGTAAAAATTATCTTAAACATATATATATGACATATAGGTATGATAAATAAAATAATAATATATTCTGTTTAATTTAATTGAAGTAAGTTATAATTGATAAATTACTTCAATCAAAATTAAAACAGAAAATCAGAGTCAATGCTCAGATTTTCTGTATATTTCTTTGTATATTTCTTTCTTATAATTTATACAACGGACTGTGTTCTGATGAATTGTTCGACATGATGCCTACGGCCACCTTTTACCATCGCACCGTTCGTCATCGACAGGGAATTCATTCCCACACGCTGGAAACTAAGTGGTCTCGAACAGTGCGGTTTCAGAGGAGCTTCCTCCCGCGTACACTTAGGTTGTGGAATGAACTTCCTGCCGAGGTTTTCTCACGAGACTGTAGTAGCATGGGGTTCTTCAAGAAGGGTGTATTAAGGTTTCTTAAGGGTCGGCAACGCACGTGACACCCCTGGCGTTTCAGGCGTCCATAGGCTACGGTAACCATTTACCATCAGATGGGCCGTATGCTAGATTGCCACCATAGTAGTATAAAAAAATATATATTTAAGATTTTAAATGAATACAAATTGCCAAATTAAAAATTCTATCAGTTCTTCGTAAAAGACTAAATTAAAAGGGTTGCAACCCTGTCTACGTAACGTTAGTAGGTTTAAGCTATATTGTCTTTTCGCTGTATAGAATTTCTATTATCTTAAGATTTTAAATTAAAACAATGTGATACATTATACGATCAAAGTATCAATTACAAAGCGCCTCATTAAGTCGTTTCCTAGTATCTTTATTTTTAATTAACGTACAAGTAAAATCTTTAATTAGAGACAAAATACTGGATGTTTTTTTATAGAAACATATATAAGAATGGTGTTGCTGGCAGCTCTACCATTCTTTTTAGATCATCATCATCTGCTATGCTTTTCTCTTCTATTCATCTCTGTTCGCAGTCATCTCGTTATTTACTCCCTTTCTCACCATATCATCTTTCACACAGTCCATCCATCTCTTTTTCGGTCGTCCTCTACCATTGTAACCATCCACATTCATATGTAACACCGTCATATCCTATATGATCTTCATTCCTACGCATACATGCTCTACCATTCTTTTTATAAAATTTATATTTTTGATATCTATTTTTTTATATGTCACTTTTGACTAACTAATTGTGTTGTTACTTTCCTTCGCTGTGAGCCGTTTAGGGAAAAATACACATTTTTACTAGTGTTTGGTTTTTATAAAAATAGCAGTTGCGTTTCCGCTGCAGTAATAAATGGGATGGCATGTTGGTCGCCTATATATGTACATGAATAGCTCAGGGATATCCTATAATATCATGTTAGTAATTTTTTTTATGAGTAATGGGGACTTTTTGAAAACCAGCGCTGTATAGGTGCACCTCATTGAGGTTGTACTTATATCAGAAACAGCTGAGGCTGTTTATTGCCAACTTTGTATGTTATTTTTTTTCTTATTATTTATTAGTAATTTGTTGTGTTATGTTGGCAATAAATGAATTGTCTATCTATCTATCATATCTTCATGAGATGTTCATTTATATATATAAATAAAATTAAGTGTCTGTTTGTAATATTGAAATAACCATTTTTTACTACATGAATATAAATACGGTACATACATCAAAATAACATTTTTTACAATTTTTGTCTGTCTGTCTGTTTTGACGGGACTTTTTTTGGCAAGTAGCTGATGTAATAAGGAGTAACTTAGGCTACTTTTATTTTAGAAAAATAAAGTTAAATTCCACGCGGACGAAGTCGCCAGTACAGCTGGTAGTACATATGTACAGCTCATGCGTTGCCATTCCTAAGAACAAAGATATGATGCCTCCATGTGCTTTAATTTAATTTTGTTATCGAACTATTCTACTGCTATTAATCGTAGCTAACCTTTAAAGCTTCTCCGAAAGCTCCTATCAATTGGAGAAGCTATAAAAATAGGCTCTCCAAACCCACGGAAGAACTTATGGAACGGTTGAGGGCCAACTCCTATCTGACGGATATGACTTTAGTCTGAGGGTACCGCTATGCGTTCGAACCTCAGCTCAGGTTGTCGAGGACTTGTAGAGCGGCTAAAGGCCAACTCCTGCCTGACAGATATAACTTTAGTCTGTGGGCATCGCTATACGTTCGAGCCTCAGCTCTGGCTGGCAGTTGTAACTTCGATCCCCGTTTGAATTGGACAGGACTCTCCTGTCCAATTCAAACGGGGATGAAGTGAATTTTATTACTGAATCGCATTCTAACAGCTTGCAATACAATCTGTTTAGTTAATGAAACAGGTGAGACAATGGTGCCACAAACCACTGAGCGATGTCTACTTCGTTGAATATATTAATGTAACAGCTCCCAGACGATTCGCGCCAATTCAAGTGTTAAACAAGTGTCATCCAAATGTCAAATGTTTCCCGCCCTTTTAAATGTCAAACAATACCTATCTTTATTCAAACGTAATGGTTTGTTGAAGCATTAATTCTCCAATTTACTGAGTATTAGACAGATATTCGTGAATCATCACTAGAATATCAAATATTTTTTTTCCCCATATTCGTCCATCTCCTTTTCAGTGATGGAATAGGCAAAGATCCTTAGACCGTACAGCCTAGTCTACGTTTATACTTCTTCATATCTGAACAAGTGATGAGGCCAAAGGCCAATTCTTATGTATTTTTATTCATTATGTTTTCATTCGTGTTCAAAATTTAAGTCTTATCCATAGTCCATATCCTTGTATCAATTATTTAAAGTTTTATCAATACAGTGGTAATGTATAAATATATAAGTATATATGTGTATTAATAGGTTATATATTTTTTTTATAATTAAAAGGCAAGGCAAAGGACACAACACTATAAATCTAAATGTTTTGTAGACATCAAAAATGACATAACAGCCTATAAAGTACAACTACTGGCCATCTAATTTTAAGAGGAGGGTTTCTTTTTTTAATGTTCTTTTTTTTAAAGGGTCAATCAAATATAATCTATTATAATGTCATTCAGACTACTAAGTTAATCTTCGTTTCTATAACTTTAATATTTAATAAATATTTATATTGAACAATTCACACAGCGCCATCTAGTCCCAAGTTAAGCTGAGCTTGTATTATGGTTACAAGACTACTGATATAAATACATACATACTTTTTCTGTAAATACATACGTATTATACATATAAAACACCCAGACCGATACAAACAATCATACTCATGAATACAAATGTTTGTGCCGTGCAAGGCATCGAACCCGCGACCATCGGACGTAAAGCGTTGTGCTAAACCACTAGACAACCGAGGTCGTCAGATTATTGACGTACCACTAGATCACTGAGGCAGTCAAGGTTGGCATATAGACATTAATTATTGATACATTTTTTTCAAGTCGGTTAACATTTTTTTTTATTTTCAGGTACCACAACAGTAGAATGATAAATTACGACATCGAGAGAGGTATCAATGTGACCACAGACCCTGCACAGAGACTGTCCGATCTTCTCATACCAGCTGCCAGTGTATCGCACGCTGGGAATTACACTTGCGTTCCCAATAACGCAGTACCAGCCAGTATATGTGTCCATATATTTAATGGTAAGTGTATTATTTGTTAATATTAAATCGCATACCTAATGTGACCATTCATTGACTCAAAACGGAACATCGGTTTATTTATGTCAATTAATAAAAAAACAATTTCTTAGATCTTTATTCAGAAATGGTTAGTTGAAAATTTAAGTATAATTGGATGAACAAATTTGCTTTAATATAGCTAGTGAAGTCTTTAGGTAAGACTGATATTATTGGCATGTTTTTTATGTATGGTACTAACATAGTGACATGAGAATTTTATAAATAAATTTTAATTTTATAAATGAATGAATTTTATAAAAGAATTTTATGTTTAGTTTTAATTATTTTTGACATTTTCATAAAAAATATTATTTGCACATTTTAACCCACTCAACACTTCCTATGCCACGCCCTATTGGATTGACTGGAAGAGATCTCTTTTAGAGATAAGTCCTCCTTTGTTAACATTAGCTGTAAATAATATACTTACAAATGTATTTAAGTGCAATAAAGAATATTTAATAAAATTCAGAATACAGAGGTCTGTATCCTATAATTTCATTGACTCATTCAAGCTGCTTAATAGCTGCTGCAAAGTAGGTGAGAGCTATCAAAGGCGAGTTTGCACACAGAGTACCTTGCTAAAACAGAAACCTTACAGAGCGTCTCACCCTTTAGGGGCCATTCATAAATTACTTGACACTAAATTCATAATTTTTAAGTATACAATATAAATAAACTGGCTTTAACAAACGAAACGTTTTCCAGTTCTTCTCAATTAAATGTGTACACTGAACTGAACTGTAGGAAAAAAAATATTATTATAAAAAATTTTACGTTAACAAGCGACTAAAATGTCCTGCATGAATAAATTATTTTTGATTTGATTTGATTTGATTTACTTCCATCCCCCTCCCAACTCAGTGTCATAGATGGTATTAAAAAAATCGTGGTTTGGTACAAAAAATTAAATGTGAGGTCACAATAAACAGGACCCCTTAGAGAGGAATGGGATTTTAACTAATGTGGACTGATGACCCTATTTCTAACAATGTACCATGTCAGATTGATCTCAGTTTCCTCTGGAAACCATCATGTTGAATTCCAAGTGAATCTGTTACGAAGAGCTAACTGTCCTGTTATAATTCTCCTGGAATTAGGAAAGGATCTAAAGTTCTTTTTATCATCCTGTACTAAAATAAATTTGCTTATTTAATGAAAAAAGTGACATCCCCTAATTGTGAAGATTGTGGGAAAGATTCTTCTTTGAAAGAAGATCTGCATCATATTTTGATGGAATGTGTTCGTAATGCATATAAAAGAGAATATACCATCCAAGCTTTAAAGTTAAATAGGTTAGACATAGGAGTATTTCATAAAATATTAGCAGAACCAGGTTCCAATGCAGCCAAGTTGTTGTTCTGGATGGTATCATATTATTTTAAGTTCTTTAGTTGTTTTTTAGTTTATTTTTGTTATTTGGTATACGATGGATACGATTGTCATAGTCACATTTTGTGCACAAAAATCCCAAAAAAAATAAAGAGAAAAAAAAATCATCCTGTACTAGTGTCCCGCCAGCGTAAACCGATACCAGGCCGGTGCACCATTTTATTATAATCAATTAAAAAAAAACTACATCACTCTCCCTGATATGGGAGGAGATACGTTTCGGATAGTTCTAGGGATTGATATATAATATGTATAATTTTAATACACTAATAAAAGCTTACGTAATAACATCAAACTGGTTTTATCTCAATGCCGTTTGACTAGAGTTAGTAATTCGTTTTATGGAAATTGCAAAGTGCAAAAAGTTTCAATAATATTAAAATTCATAGATTACATTCTTTGTAAAAAAAATATTATATAATTGAAGAGTTTATAAGTAATAATATTATTATTGTAAAGAAATTCTAACTTAAATTTCATATCGCTGATAATATTATCTGATTTTTATAAAGATCAAATATTGATTGTCGCATGTACGATCCTTATTTATTTAAAAGAGCGACATGAAATTTTCTCGCTTGTTCTTTTTGTGATGAGTCTGCGTTCCGAATGAGTGGTAGGATAAAAAAACGTGCTTATATTAAGTTTATTTGAATAAAAACTATTTCTATTTAATTTACAATAATTAAAATATTTTAATCAATAAGTATGTATTTGTACTATAATAGCTTACCCGTTTCCTTCGAACAACCCCTAGGAAAATAAACGGAAACTATAAATTTCTAATAACCGAAAAACAATAAAAAAATTAAACTATTCTCACAAGAATATGATCCTTAACTTCTACTGATTTCAATTAATCTTTCGCAGATGAGAACCCGGCGGCAATGCAGTCCTCATCGCCAAGTTTCATCTCGCACCTCAATTCCTACAGCATCTTATTACCCACACTTACTACACTCCATCTTATACGGTGACAATCATTACACGAACTACCCTAGTTACTCGCTGGTAAAGTATAACGTACTCTATTTATAATAGCTACAGAGTCCATGTTCGCGTGGAGCGGAACGCTTCTCAGAGAGACGGAAATGACGTCGTTACAAGCATAATCGGGTAAATGAGCATGTTAGGCACAGATTATTGTCTAAGTGTGAAAGGTCTTTATTTTGTACTAGTGATGTTCCCGACTTTGTATGCTATACCATCTGTTGACCTTTTAACATCGCACCACTCTCCATCGACAGGGAATTCATCCCCACACGCTAGAACCTAAGTGATCTCGGACAGTGCGGTTTCAGAGGAACTTCCTGTCGCGTACACTTAGATTGTGGAATGAACTACCTGCTGAGGTTTTTTGTAGAGACTACAGAATGGGGTTTTTCAAGGGTATATTAAGGTTTTTTAAGGGACAACGCGCACGTGAGACCCCTAGTGTCTCAGGCGTCCATAGGCTACGGTAACCATTTACCATCAGATGGGCCGTATGCTTGTTTGCCACCATAATAGTATAAAAACAAAAGATGATGAAACAAAAACCAATGTATAAAGCATCTATAGAACGCCATCCATTAGATTTTTATTAAATATTTATAGCCCTTTGGGGGATAATTTTTTCAAATTCCATTAGCCTATATGTTTATCCATATTCAACAACATATTCTGTTAAAACTTGATCGTGAAATATTAACACATAGACAAACATACAAGTATCGTAAGATTTTAAGAGTTTGTGACGTGTAAAGACTAGCTGAGACCCCGATTTCGTCTCCATATATTTTTTTATTTGTAAATCTATTGTACTAAAACAAACACATTTTTTATTTATTTAAAACAGAAAACATCTTTGGTGTTATATAGCTTTATGGCGTATTCAATTGCCCTATGTTATGCCACAAAATTATCCTGAAAGCGTTTCGTTCTACGGAAAATTGTATAAAAACTGATTTTAAACGATCATTGTATAGTAAATGTATATCTTTTAAGACTTAAATCGCACGCGCGACACGATTTTGCATCCGATTTGTCGGATCGTAACGAATGAGGGCTGATAATAGTGACTATAGTCTGTTTTGAAAGCCCGGAGACTAAAATGAAAGGTGTAAATGTCAAATTTTAAAATAATGTTACCACCTAACTGAGGTAGTGATGTACCTGCGATACCGGTTTTTTAATCGGAAACTTTTATTTTAACATATTAATTTAAAATATTTAAATGACTTATAAATAGTAAAAATCACGGGATCTTACCACGTTTTATATTTGATTTCCCGATATTCCGACAGTGTTTCAACCGCCTTGATCGCGGGTAAACTGATCTGACTGATTACCCATGATCATGGCTGTTGAAACACAAGATCCCATGATTTTTACTAATTATATGTATAAATAATGACAGTGTCAAATTTGAAGCTTTAAATGACGTTTCCACAACATTTCTAATTAAACACCCATACATTATTTCTGAGTAATCTTTAATAATGGATAATTAATAAATTTCCGATAGTGTCACAACTGTATTTAAAAAATCAAAAACCTAGCAACATCGGTAATGCCAAATTTGTCACCAGTATTAAAAAACAGACTATATATGTTCAATCACGATTTTGAATACGATCGATCGGTTGATAAATCGCGACGTGTGTAGACGATTTTATGTTTACAATTATTTTAAAGGGTGAAAAAAGAATCTGTTTCTTATTTCTATCAATACATAGTATATTTTTAAATGTCCAACTTACTACAGATTCAGATTTCGTATTGATTTATTCGCGATGTAAAACAGGTTACATTTAGCTCGTAACAAAATTTTAAGTCAATAGAATACATGACAAATTAATTTTGATGACATGTTTTTCATTCATTAATGTGATAAAATCGATTAATTTCATAAAAATACTTTGAAGTTCATATAATTTTTTAAATTGATAAATCCTTGTTGCACAATCAGATGATATTGTCAGCGATTTAAATTTTTAATTTAGAATTTCTCTATTGTTATTATTTTATAATAAGCTATTTCACAAAGAAAGTGTTTTCTAAGACATATAATATTTTCTGTTTGTGATTGTAGCAAACTCCTTGATAGGTTTTTATACCATTTTAAAATTTTATAATAATATTCTTTGATATATTCTTTATTGTTCACTTTCTAATATATATCGGTGTCATACTAGTCGCATTTTATTTTATCTCCGTATTTTCCTCATAAAAACCCTCAGCACCTCTCACTCATCAGACACATTTGATACCTCCGCTTCAGTGATATAGTAATATTTTGACGGCTAATCTATACTTCAGTAACACAAACACTTTCACATAATGTTTCCAGCCGACTTAACATGTATAAAAGGCATACGCAATTAGTTTAATTATAATCTTTAAAAAAATGTAATTACTATTGACTTGCGATTGTGTAACGAGATTTGTTACATTTGTGAATAAAACAATATGAAATATATGTTATTTAAAATTGATAAATCCTTTATTCATTTGGGAAATGATTATACATCATTAGTTTCAATGTCAGTCCCTGCTCAATAGATTTTGTATTTTGTAGTCTTTTTTTTGGTACAACAAGTTTGTCCTTATTTCTTGTGTTTCAGTTTTTAAGTAAACTTTGGGCAGTTTTATAATTTACCGTACGATATTGTCGGACGACATTATCGCACGATACTATCGTACGATATTACCGTCAATGTCTACGATTTCAATAATGGCGATGCGCATTGTCAACTGAAAATCGAAATTTCCATATAGTTATATATTTTCTTATATAATTTATATTTCATTTTCTTATTGTATTGTTATATTATATCATATACTAGGCCAACCCCGGCTTCACACGAATGTACATGTATTATACATATAAACCTTCTTCTTGAATCACTCTATCTATTGGTACAAACAGCATTAAAATCCGTTGCATAGTTTGGAAGATCTAAGCCAGAGGTTCCCAAACTCTTTTGTGCCGTAGACACCTTGCCATATTTTTCGGTTTTTATGATATTGATTTTCTGTAAATTTCAAACTGTAGTAAAGTTTAGTGTTAAAAATGTAAAATAAAAACAACAAGATGACCTCTGTCGTAGACCCCTTGCAGTTTGTCATAGACCCCTGGGGGTCGATATAGACCACTTTGGGAATCACTGATCTAAGCGAACAGACTAAGCTACTTCATTTTATACTATGTACAGATAAATATGAAATTGTGTCCTTTGACGATAATTATAATGATTAGCTACAATAACAGGAGAGACGTAGATCTAAATACCAACTTAGAAATAAAAAAGTTATATATCAATATGGATTTTTATATGTCATTAACTAAATTCATATTTTGACTACTTTTATATATAAAAAATGATTGGAGATATTGTATAATATATATTATTATTGTAATATATAATTTATATTGTATAATAATGTATAGACGTCGAGAAATTCATCTCACAGATTCTTAGTTCGGTCATTTTTCATAATTTATTTTTTAATTCTCATATGTCGTCACTATTAATAGGCAGTAATTAGAAATAGGTTATCATATCATACTATCACTGTCATCATCATCATCATCGCAGCCCGGAAGACGTCCACTGCTGGACATAGGCCTCCCCCAAAGATCTCCACGACGATCGGTCCTGCGCTGCTCGCATCCAATGTCTTCCAGCGATCTTGACCAGATCGTCGGTCCACCTTGCTGGAGGCCTTTCCACGCTGCGTCTTCCGTTCCGTGGTCGCCTTACTATCACTGTATGATATGATAACACTAAAAACTGTTTCGAATTTCGAATCTAGTATTTGAAATACAAAAAACAGTAATTTGCAATCCAGTGATAGTATCATAGGATAACACTAAAAAGCTATTTCAAATTTCGAATGTAGTATTCAAAATAGAAAATAAATTAAAATCTTTTTAATTGTGTATCAACTGAAAGAAAACTATCAGTATTATTTTTTTATTACAGTGGACCCCCGGTAGTCCGACAATCATTTTGCAGGGCAGTGTCGGACTATCGAATTTGTCGGATTATAGAGTACTGCCTAAGACCCCTTATATTCCGAATTTTTTTACAAAAGAGTACCTTGTAATCCGACAAATTACAGATCCAGTGATAAGATTCTATGTTATATATGTATGTATGTATATGCACTCTGAAGTATATTGTCAAAGTAATATTCAATAACAAATAATAGACAATGTCGGATTACAAGGGGGGCCGGATTAGACAGGGGCCGGATTACCGCGGGTCCACTGTATATACATTTTGAACATAATATTCGAAATTTGAAAAATATAATATTAATTAGAACTCACACGGTCACGTGACCGATTAAAAATAAAACCTAGATCTAGACACGCGTAGCGTGTCAAGCCGAGTTTCAAGTAACTGGCGAGCAGCACCGTGTGTATATTTACACGAACCATTTGGAGCCACTTTTGATAATTTTCACAGTACGGGCCAGATATGTAATAAAGTTCAACATATGTTGATATTATTTATAATTTCTTAATGAAATATATTTATTGTTTATTATTGATGTATTGTTCAAAATTGTAGAAATAATAGTTATATGGGAATTATCCGTCAAATTATTTAATTTTTATGAGTCATTAGAGATTACACCAATTCATTTGTATGTGCGATAATGTTTTAAAGTGTAATCCATGATTTTTATCTCAAAAATAATTTGGAAAGGGGTATAATAGGGGATGAGAGTTTGTGCAGACGAAGTCGCGGGTTAAGGCTAGTGAGATATAACTGTTTTACTTTTTTAAACACCATAAATTATTACCACTAATATCACAAAAAATATTATAATTATAAATATATACTGTAATTCAACATATGTTCTATAATATTAGTTATGTTTTATTCATCACTGTACATTACATATAAAGCATATTCTATCTATATATCTATCTATCTATATAAGTTACTCGTTATAAAAAGAGGTGAAATATTTATTTTTAATTTTAT